TACACTCAAAATCAGCAAAAAACGAGTGAATGAAAGACTGCAGTCAATGTACCAAGTGATATTGAAGGATGAAGTGAAACAAATCAATTCAGATCACTGAAAGACAATTCAAAAAAGACATCTTCCATGAAATACCAGTTAATCACACTTAATTGATCAAACTCAACATCAAATTTCGAAATACTTTCGAGATGACTGAAAGTTATATTATTATGCAGCAAAATCAAACAATACAAACTCGATTGCAAATTCCCATCATCATTTCAATTTTTGCTTCTTTTCTCGACGTTTTTTCCAGCCATCTGCCGGTAAACTGAACGTTATGTGAAGACGATCGAGAATCTCCATCAACGCTTTCCTTGGGATTTTTGCAACAGCCGTATCGCACTTCGATAAGCGCCCATAGAAATCTTCCTGGAAGTTTGCATTTACATGGCTGAATGAAAGTCTGACGATGTGAATCAACATAATGAGAAATTCTATTTCGAGACACATTTATAGTTGCATGACAAAAAAAGAAAAATTATATGTTCGTTCCAAATTTCACCGCATTGTTTCAATGAAGTTTGACGACATCAAAACTGTAGCAATAAAAAGGGTACAACTACTTACGAAAGATACGGTATTGAGACCGAGAACCTCATTGTAAAGATCTTCATTATCATTCCGACGTAACCAATTCAGCACAGCNCTGCATTCCATCCAAATCCTAAATTCGATGAAATGATCTATAACATACTAACGCAATCTGCTGGAGAGTACCTCAGCAACGAATACTGCAAGATTTTTTTTTAATGAGACGGTGGCATGAATAAATTGCTCGATGAAATGATAAAAAATGCTCCATGCGGAATATTTGAATGCATTTCTAAATCCAACATTGATAAAATAGATGAAATATGTCCGAAACAAGACGAGAAAACAGTCGTATTAAAATTCAACCGTAACTGTGCTTAATACCTTCGGAAGCGGAGCGTCTTCGTTGTAAACGTCGTCAATACAGGATTCTTCGAGGATATCCTCTTCATTCAAACTGCTATTCAATGTTTTTTCAGCTAAATCTTCATCTCTTTCGTTTGCTTCATCTTCTCTCCTTTCATCTCTTCGCTTTTCTTGTACCTCATTCAACC